CTACTGCAAGGAACATGAATATGGACGAAGCACAGAAATCCAGATTGCAAAATCACACTGAAGTCCAAGTAGTCAAAGCAAGAGCAGATAGCACAATGGAACCGAGTAACCATCCATTTGAGAATGATACAGAAAAATCGTGAGTCAATGTCCAAGCCCAACAGGGCAACACGAACAGCATAACCCAATGTAGCTCTCTCTCTTGAATGGCGCCAGGCGCACTACCTACTCTACAGCCTATCACTACAACTACAGCTATGAAGCAACCAGACAACTTGACGACCAGCGAGTGATGACGTCAACACCAATGCCGACCTCCACCTCCACCAGGTACGTCTCTCTCCTTCACCCACACTCTCCCTTGTTATCCCACGCAGCGCCCTTCACCTCCGAATAACCACCTTCGCCCTCACCTCCCCTGCGCACTATGCAGCCCGGCTATGGCCGCCAGCGCCCAGTGCACAGGCAGCGCCCTACCGCCAAGCGCCTGCCTGCCTTGCACCTCCTCCTAGCGCAGCGCAGCAGCTCGCATTAGCGCAGCGTGCCCTTATTGCCCGCAATGGCCAAGATCCCTGCCCACTCGCCCTGCTTGCGTATATGCCAGTGTTGCGTGTGGGCGGCCTCCCTTCAGCCTGCGACTGGGCCCCAGTGCCTGAACCCAGGCCCAATACAGTTGGGGCCCGGGTGATGCAGTTGCGCCTCTTTCGTCAAGGCCTGCGGCCAGATTCAGATAGTGGGCCGATTTCCCTTTGGCATTTTCGGCCTCTATACCCAGCATGCATTGTCGGCCTCACGTTCAAGTGCCCAAGGCCTAACTAACTTGGAGGCCCTGGGATCTCCACATTTGCAGAGATTCGAGACTTGGTGCACTCCAACCAACTGGCGTGCTGCAACTGTATGAACCCCACTTCGTGAAATGTTTGTACAGAGGGCTCTTGTTGTTTTGCTGGCCCGCCTTCACTTAGGGCGGGCACTAGGCTTGTTGGGGCCTTAGCCGAGAACATGTACATTATGGCAAGGCCCCTTCTTGAGGGCTCAATCCTCACATTCCATCCCCCTTAGCTTCGAAAGTCCGCTGAGATGCTTACTTCGCAGGCGCCTTCCCTTTCAGCTTCCTCTCATATTCTGTCACCACCTGAGGAGCTGTGTCAATCAGTTCCTCTCGGGTGAACCACCGATCTTCCTTCGGATCCGTATGATGCCTAAATCTGACGCGATATTCTCTCTTGGGTTTAGGAGGTCTCCGTCTACCCAATGGCTTCTGAACAGGCAGATCTCTGTGATCCACAATGTCGTCGATGTCCACTTGACCATCCATGGTTGGGGGCAGCATCGATCTCCTTGAAGGGAATTGATCAGTCTCAGCGAAAGGTGCAAGTTTGAGGCATGAAAGACAGGGTGAGTGCGTAGGTGTCCAGGGATACGGATAACATAGGAAGGACCATCCATCTCATCCCCCACTACATCCATGACTTCCCAAGGACCAAAGTACTGAGGCATTAGTTTTCTAAAGATACCGAATTCCTGTCCTTGCTCACTAGCCTTGACCCAGACACGTTCCCCTACCTGAAATGAGGACTGTCGCCGATGCTTGTTCTCAGAAGCAATCATTGCTTGCTGAGCTTTCTTGATGTGCTCGACAGCTTGCTGCAGCAACTTCTCATATTGCACACCATACTCAAGTGTGCGGGGAGTTGCAGAGGATTGGTTTTCAAGTAGGAGGAAGTCTAGAGCAGATCTAGGCTTCCATCCCAAGTGCAGCTGGTTAGGACTAACGCCGGTATTGCTGTGTAGAGCGTTGTTGTACAGGCTGGCGATGAGAGGCAAATTCTCATCCCAATCATCCTGGCTGGGCTTGATGTAATGCCTCGGCAAGTGCTGTACAACTCTATTCATTTGCTCGGCCTGTCCGTTGGCTTCGGGATGATTCCCTGAAGTCATCTGAAGTTGACTGCCCATCTGCTCCGCAGTCTTCTTCCACAGCTCACTTGTGAATCGGACATCTCTGTCACTAACGATTGACTTCAGAAGTCCAAAATCACGCACCCAGTTGTCCATGAACAACTTGGTAACATGGTCAGTCCTTGCGGTCTCAGGCATGGCAACTAGTCTAGCGTACTTGGTGAATCGATCAATGATGACGAAGATGTGCCGCTTGCCACTCTTGCTGGTCACCAGGGTATCCATGAAATCCATGGAAACACTCTGTCCTGGACCAGC